GAGAGAGAGAGAGAGAGAGAAGTCGCGACAGTATGAAAGAAGCTTAAAATAATAAGATAAAAATAGAAAACCAAATCGTGCATCAGTGAAGAGTCGAAGGTGGTGTCTACGGGGTGGTTCAGTAAAACGAGTGTCGGATAATTAATTCGGGTGACCCCTGTACTCCTTGTATTCCCGAGCACGACGGTGGCCATGGCATCGGTGTTTTTTTTGTCGTTCCTTTCTAATACACACACATACACACAATTACATTTACACGTAGGACATACACAATCTCACAAATACACACATAAACGTATACACTGAAACTAAATCTTTTCCTTCCCTTCGATCCTTCTTCGTTCTCGTTGTCTGTTGCCTTCTTTTTTTTTTTTTTTCTATTTTTCTCCTCTTATCCCCTCTTTCCTCTACTACAACAGCTTCCTCTCCTTCGAGATACTCTGATCGTATCGTGCCGCGGGTAATTTTAAATCAGAAAGTTAATTAGACGCGTTTCACTGTCCTTTATGTCGTCTGTCTGTCTGTCCGTTCCTTCGTTCCTTCTTCGTTCGTAGTAACAGTAAGTCCTAAGTAAGTTCAGTATAGGTATTATACTATAGATAAATCAGCATATATTATGTGCCGGCACGAAGCTACTGTATTTTATATGACAAGAGTTTGCTTTCATTATGCGAACTAATTAAACTCCAATCGGGAAGCTGACACACGAAGCTGACACACGACGCCATCTTTACAATCTCGTTCTCACCAATGAAACATTTGCACTAAATACATTTGCTTGATCTTTAAGCACGTTCTTATTCTAACCTTTTCATTCGATTTTTTCTTTTTATTATGCGCAATGCTTTAAGAATTAACAGGATGCGATTTGAACTCATTTTTAAATACAATTAATAATTTGACAAATTTATACGTTGATATGTGTACGGTTAACTATTTTCTAACGAGATTAATTTGGGATTATAAAGGGTGGCCACTGAATAATTTAATGATATAAAAAAAAAGTTGATCTTTCATTAGAATAAAAAAATTCCATGAGTTTTATTTGTTGTTCGATACTATAAGTAGTCATTTTATTCTTCATAAGATGTTTCATAACCTATAAATAAAATATAAAAGATAGAAAACATTAATAAATACCAAGTTAGGATTTTTACAAACGCTTTAGTTTTTCAGTGGTTATCCTGTATAAGCTGTTAACAAGCTAAAGCGATTAACACGTACATCCGAATATTTTTTAATATTATTATCAACGTACTGAAGATTGCTCGTTTACTTTTTATATTCAAAATAAATTTCTTTAATAACTTTTTGACTTCACTAACAAGGAGAAAACCAAGTTGACACGACACCAATCTTTTTTCAATTCTACACAGTTGTAAGAATCTATCAGGATCGCATACTGTGCAAGCAATAAGACATAGTACTGAACCGTTCTAAACAAAAAACGAAGGAAGAAGTTACACATATATTCTTACATATCAGTTTGTTTCAAATGGAAAACTAAACTTTGTACAAGTTGATTCAACAAAAAGGAGTTATCGAAAAAAATATACATGAGTCAATTGAAAAATCATGAATCTTACAAACAAAAAAGGGTTGAAAGTTTTGAGCTTGATGGTTTTTAACACCGTGTTAATCTCAAAACTTCAACCCATCATTGTTTATTAGACTCAAAACTTTTCAGCCTATCCATGTATATATTTTTTCTACAATTTCTATTTTTTTTTTCTTCAAATTAACTATAAAAATATTATTGATATATATTTTGTATATTATTGACATATAAAAATATTTTTTCATTTATTTGAACTCAAATCAGTAATATTATACACAATATAAGTTTGATCTTATTTTGGACACAGTGTATAAAAGCAAACAACCTATTCCCCCACATAATCTTTCAACAGTATTAAAATCCAGTTTACGTAGCATATCGTCACGCGATCGTAACACGGATTCACGAAATAGGATCTATCGATGTTCTGTATTATTAGATCTTAACTATAATAAGAATACTAGTATTTCGTTTTTGAGCTACCAGAGTCCATTGACTTTTCTTCCTTCACATAAGACGAAAGGTGTTAATGCGTGTGTGTGTTTTGAAGCGTAAGAATTTTCACGCTTTGACTTTACTCGTGCGTAGTATAACAAGTCAGTTAATTAATATTCGAACGATCTAGATCGGTAAATCAGTCTCGCGTGACGGAGCTATCGTTATTCGTTGTCCCATGGTGTTACGCGAAGCGACGTTCTGGAAAAGAAATCGATCGGATTACTTCACCTACGATATCGAAGGTGGGAATTATGACGTAATCGTGGTTAAGGTGGACGTTGACCTGAAATACAACACACACACACACACATTTACCTTCTTCTATTCGCAGGTATCGTTTTGGAAAAATTATACGAATCTTTTTTTCTTATCTCTTTTAATAATAATTGTTATTATTATTATTATTATTACTATTTTTATT